AGTCTCGTCATTTATTACTGCATTTCCAATCTGCAAATTATTATTATTTTTTCACAAAATAATAATAATTAGTGTCTTTAAATTATTATTATTATTATTATAAGAAATTAATATTCTAAAAATAATTATCAGTAGAAAATAATAAAAAATTTAAAATTAACTTCAATTTAAACTCTTGTAATTTAAAATTTTTTAATGTGTAAATTTTATTATAAAAATTTAATTAATTAACTATTTAATTTTATATGTTTCCATTATAATTGTTAATATTTTTTTTCTTATGGGTTCTATATGTATGTTATATATATATTATGTGTTATTTATTGAACATGAAATGACAAAATATATTGTATCTAATACATCAATTTTATATGTATACATGTATACACACACACACACACACACACACACACATATCATACCATTTGAAGATCAACTTTTGTACCATAAAAAATACACACTGGGTTGGCATTGGACCTCATTAACCGACCAAATGGACGCACCCACATGAGATTTTATAAAATATCATCTATAAATTAATATTTACTAACTCATATACATACATATCATCTATAAGTTAATATGTACTTATATATATGTATATATGTATTTTAATATGTTATATGGTGATGCAATATTTAATGATATGAGAGAGAAAATGAAATTGAAAAAATGGAGTAGTACAAAAGGGAAATTAATAAGTCTAGAAAGCAAACAAGATTTCATACTCAATATGGGCAACCCTAATTAGGTTTAAGGACCCATAAATTGACACCAAAACTTTCCTTCTTAATCAAGATTCTCATTTAGTGAAAATATATAATTGCTAAAATTTTCATAACATTGAAAATGAAAGCCTATCCCATATGGTATAACTTCCAAGCTTCAACCTTCAATCATTTTTGCAATTATCATATATATATGTATGTATTTATAAACTTATCTCTCCTACCCATTTTTTGTAATTATTGATTGATATGTATTACTAAAATTAAAAAACAAATTTATTTATTAAAAAATAAAAATATATATTTTATTAATTAAGTGATATATTCATATAAATAATAGTACAAATTTATAATAAATAAACAGAGTCATACAATTTAAAAAATACCATTTATCCTATTGAAAAGAAAAGAAATCTTAATTCTGTAATAAATGGTAACCATTTTGAAGTTAGAAAATAATTGTAGTAAACATAAAGTTAAACCTAATTGAATATGTAAAAATTGATTGAAAACTCATGGATTATTTCGTCTTTATCATAAAAACAAATTATATAGTATTATATCTTGATATACATTTAAAAATATATAAGTCTGACCAGATAGAACACGTTTCTTTCTGTCTTCTAGTTAAGAAATTATGTTTTAATTAAATGAAATGTATATATTAAAGATTGAAATTGATGTAAAGAGAAATAAAAAGAGTAATTAGGAGAACTTACTAAGATTCCTTTTGAGATTATAATTGTATTATTGGATTGGATTTTTGTTGTGATTAAGAATGGTGTGAGCGAGTTGTGGGACATAGTGTCCTGCGTAGCTTTCTCCAGCTATATAAAACTCTCTCCCTTTGTACTCCGGAAATCTCTCCAGCCATTTTCACCAAGAACACATAATTATCCGCTGCCGTTTTGATATCTCCCATCTTATCGTAATCCGACGTCGTATTCGAGTATGAATACCCCACTCCCGCTGGTGACTCCAGAAATAATACATTCGCAGCTGGAATTTACACACACACACACACATATATATATGGAAAAAAATTAAAATTATATATATATATACACATATATGTATAGATATAATATATATATATATATGTGTGTGTGTGTGTGAGTGTATGTATATATTTTACCATTATTCCATGAGTATTTATTTCTGTATAGAGTTTTTCCATCACTGCGAACTCTAAAGGGTCCAAGTTCTTGCATTGCTCCATAGCCCAGAGATGAACAACCAGGACCTGCAATTAAACATACATACATATATGTATAAATAAATACCAATTTTAAATTTAATTAAAAAATAATCAACAGAATCCAATATTTATGAATATGAATCCTCACAAACTAATCAATCTAATTAATCCAGCTTATTACTAATTAATAATGTTTAGTAATTTAATTATATTATGATTTTTATTGTATTATATATATGTATAGATGCGTAATTAACAAATTAATTAATTAATGTAACTAATTAATTAATTAATTTAATAATTAATCCAACATGCACGGCGATAAATCTTGAGCAGGGAGTGAAAAGGGGGATTTGATAACGTGCATTAAATTTTTTTAAAAATAAAAATAAGATAATATTTTTAAAAAGAAATATTATCAAGGAATAGAAATTTTAGATATATTTTTAAAAGTATCGTGTATAATTAAAATTGTAATTTTATTTATTTATGGAATTAAACCCATAATTAGAAAAAATTTCTGACAATAATTGAGTATTAATACTTTCAAAGATAATAATATAAATTAATTTAAAGTTTAACTAAATGCAAGCAATAATAATAATTTAAAGTTTTTTAGATAAAATTTTATATTATGGTATCCCATGCCCCAACAGATAAATACAAATAAATTAAATAAAAGTTCTATATATATATAAATATATTTAAAAAAAATCTTTAAATTGCAAGATTTTATTTAAAAAAAAGGAAATTAAACTACAAAGAAATTAATTAAAATGGAAGATTAATTAGGAACAATACCAAAGAAATTAATACTATTATCAACCCTAATGAGAAAGACTTGATTAGCAATTATACACTAAAAGTTTGAATACATATACATATATATATATATATATATATTATGAAACCAAAAACACCATAGCAAGGAGATTTAAGAATAAGAAAAATACTGTTTTTGTAATTATTAAAAAATTTGTAAATGTGATCCAATATGAGATTAAACAAACCGAGATTAACTATAGTTGACCTAGAAAATATTTAAATATATATATATATAATTTTGATTTTGATGAATTACAATGATTCATTTCAGACTCGTTCAGTTCTTTTAAAATGGTTTTGTTTGCTAATAGTTATATAGACTAGTGTGTATATATATATATATATTGTTATATTTAGTTCATATTGTGGTTTTAATTATATTTTTCAAGAAGAAAATTAGAAAAAAAAAGGTAATAAATGAAAAATTACCTCCGTTAAGCCAAAGAAGAAGAGGCAAAGAGTGTTTCTTGTAATGTGGAGCTTCAGCCAGATAGTAAAAAAGAGTTCTACCAGCAGATTCATCCACTGTAACATACCCACCAAACTGTGAAAAATCCACCATTGGTTGCCCAGGTAATCTAACTATCCTGTCTTCTTCTTTCTTGGATCTCATCATCAAATCATGATGATGATGATCAGGAGAAGCTGTGTGAGTATCTGCAGAGGAATGATACTCCAATGAGCTTGTTCTTATAAAGCCTTTCAACTTGGCTTTATACAGATTTCCCAGAGCTTCTCCCTGTTGTTTTCTACATTGGATTTCACCCACCAAACATGAAGAAAAGATTATGAATAAACCAACAGCCAAACATGCCCTTGTTTTTGTTTCCATTGATGTATCTATCTGTGCCCGATACACTTAGCTTGAGAAGAGAGAGAGGGAGGTGGGGGGGGCGTGTAATCCCGTGTGAATCATCAAGGACCACCTTGCAAGGCTAAATACTCCTGGGTGACCGATAGCGAAGAGTACCGTGAGGGAAGGGTGAAAAGAACCCCCATCGGGGAGTGAAATTGCCATGAAACCGAAAGCTCCCAAGCAGTGGGAGGAGCCCAGGGCTCTGACCGCGTGCCTGTTGATCAATGAACCGGCAACTCATAAGCAATGTTTGGGATAATTGAACTTGCTAGACCCGTACCAAAAGGATGTCCAAACACGATCCTTGCAACTGGCTCCGTACCCCACTCTGGACGATCCTTCTATGATTTTACTACTAGGACTTCA